TGCCTGGTTCCAGTACTTGAACAGCTTTCAATGCTGCGTTTCGCTGTTTTGAGCCTGGATAGCAGTAACTTTCCAGCTCAGATTAGCTAAACCCAGAGTGTTGCTTCTAACTTTAGGGCAGCTTGTTTCAGGGAACTAGGACCTGATCGCCAGCTGCAGATGGTAAAATCACAGCCCAGACAATGGCACTGCTTGGGGCTTTCTTGGTCACTAAAGGGTGACAACAAATCAGAGCCGCCCAAGCCAATCTCGCTGCCCTTCCTGAAGGAGCCCGGCTCCCTTCACCTTCAGGCCTCCCGCTGGGCAGGAGCAGGAGCCTGCTCAAGCCTGGGCTCCCTGCTCCCCTTCCAGAGGTGACTTCCTGAAGGGCATGCACCCGGGAGCCGATATGTGCCTGCAACCACAGCTCCTAGAAGGGGAGGTCGCCAGGGCGGTAGCAGACGTGCTGGGACAGTTGTGCACGCAGGCCAGCCACCGTCGCCCACTTCCTTCCCCTCTCTGCAAAGCGTGTGGCTTTGCGTGGGGCTGCCTGGCTGGCCTGTGTCCAGACACTCAGTGTTTGCTAACACAAAGCTTTTGCAGCTATCCCAGCCAGCTCTTTGCTGCTACCAACCCGGGGCCTAGGGAGAGGCCTTCGTCTGGTGGGGAAAGCAGCAGGAGCATTCAGACTGCATGGCCCACCTGGTCCTCGGCCTCTCTTCTGAAACCGCTGCAGGAGGAGCCACTTGAGCCTTGTTTTAGAGCGCCTGTCTCTGATGAGAAACGAGCATGCCCTGCGGGCCCTTGGCTGGTGGTCAGACTGTTCTCCTCTCATTTGTAAAAGAGCAGAAGGGGATGCCTTTTATAGCTCGCAGCTGCTCTCCCCTACCCTGGGGGTCTTCAAGAGGAGGTGGGATAGGCATCTAGCGGGGGTCATCTAGACCCAGCCCTCTTTCCTGCCTATGCAGGAGGTCGGACTCAATGATCTGTTGGGGTCCCTTCCGACCCTAACATCTATGAATCTATGAACCACGTCGGGACAGAGCGGGGATTTGCAGTCCTTATCCTCTGCTCCCATGGCTCCTTCTGGGGTTTGTAACAGACAGAGGGAGACCTATAGAGCAAGGGTGCTAGCATGACCGATTCTTCATGTTTCGCCGTGTCGGTTCCACAGTCCAGCTTGACACATTGTCCCAAAATTCAGGTATCAAGGGAAGAGTCAGCGAGACATTGCCAGAGGCTCTCGGTTACAGCTGCGTAAGGACCTTGCAGCGATGTAATGCAACCAACTTAGCGCGCTTCAGGTGTGATCACCCCGAGGTGTTCTTCAGCTGAATCGCCCTCCGCAGGGGGCCTGCACCCACCCGGCTCGACCCGTGTCTGAAGGAGCTTGGTGAAAGGAGCACAGCCGTAAATCCCGGGAGGGCCCTGCCTCAGGGTGGGACGTCTGCGGGGCCTGGGGCTTAAGGAGAAGGCAGGGCAGTCTGGGGATGGAGCAGGCAACAGGCCTTCCAAGCTGGTATCATGGGGGGCAACGTGGGATGGCGGGGGACAGCCGCAAGCCTTGAGGCAAGAGGGAGCGAGCAGGGAGCAGCAAAGCTGCGAAGGGGAGAGCAAGCCTAGACCTAGCGAGATGGAAGTGGGGAGTCCGCGCAGGGGCTGGGAAATGGCAGCGATGAGGAAGAGAGGGCAGCCGCGTGCGCCAGGCAGGCAAGGCACAGAGGTCGTGGGAGCTGAGCCTGGAGCCGGTGTGAGCTGCAGGCACCGAGGGCTGCCGTGCCATGGGCGCTGTCCGGCACCGCGGCCCTCCGCGGGTGCAGGTTATTCTATTACGGAGTGGCGACGTGTGAATTAAGAGCTATTAGAAACCTCTGCAGGAGGACTGTGACCAGCGTAGTTGTTTTCCATGGAGTGAGAAGTACCACGAAGCCCAGAGTCACCTCCAAAGGGGCTTGGCTACTTGTGGTGGGCTGCCGCCCCTGCTTGTCTTTGTTTGCTGCTGCACAGAATGGGAGCAGAGCTCAGGCCGCGGTGTTGTGCAGCTTGGATTCGTGTCACTAGTCCTACATTTGCCTTTGCCTGTGTAATGCACCAGCTGCCAGGGGGCGGGGGGAAGCCTTACCCACCAGTGGGGCCCTCCATCTCATCTGGCTTCCCCAACCTCAGGAGAACTTCAAACTGCCTACCAAGGCTGACTCCGGCCTCAGGCTGAATTAACCACCACTACACACCGTCCTCTGGACCAGAACAGAGCAAGTAATTTCCTTACCTTCTCTGGCACGTGCATGTGCTCGCTCTTTGTGTTTTATGGGGAGAATGACTTGAAAAAATGCATAGTTTGTAAGCAGTGGAGGACGTTGTGCTGTCACACTGGGAACATTAGCCATGAAGAAACAAAGCTTTTTTCTGTAACCTGCATTTTTTTCCTTGCATGCTTAAGTAAATAAAGTAGAGCTAGCATTTGCATGTGGTTATTGAGAAGCCAGAGCCCAAGAACATCCAAAAGACGCTTTGAAACAATACATCCAGGCTGCAAGACCACCGCAGGGCAGAGAGGAGAGGTTAGAGTCTGGAGCTGCCGCGGTGGCAGCAGCAGGCGAGGATAGGAGAGTAGGTCACTGACATCTCCCTAATAACAGCTGCATTTTAAGACTGGTTGGTGAGATGGTTTCTAATCCATCTAATGTGTGTCTTGTTAATTCCATATAATATATTAATATGATCTCAACATAGCTGTCAAAAGGAAGAAGAGCAACACACTTCCCCAGGACTCACGTTCACTCTCAGCAATCCCACTACCTGAACAGAAGTCCCAGCTAATGCTACCAGTGTCTCATGCTTGTTTCCCATTATTTCAGCCTACGTAACCCCCATGGTACACAGG